ACCGCGGTGGATGATTCTCTCTAAGATTCTGGAGAAAGTAGTCGCCAAACAGTTGTGTGACTTTTTACATAGCAATAATTTATTTGAGGATTTTCAGTGCAGGATTTAGAGTTCATCACAGCACAAGACAGCTCTGGTTAAAGTTTATAATGACCTTTTTGATTGCCTCTGACAATGGACTTGTCTCTGTACTTGTATATTAGATCTTAGTGCTGCATGACCCATGACCATAATATTCTCTTTACAGAGACTGAGCATCAAATTGGCATTAAAGAACGCACTAAGCGGTTTACATTATTTACGATTGTTCGCAGTTTGTACATGTTAACGATGAATCTTCAATAAATACAGAGTTAGTCATGGATCCACAAGGTTCTGTACTTGTACCAATTCTATTTACTTGTATAATATGCTCCCTTTAGGCAACATTATTAGGAATCACTCCATTAACTTTCACTGTTAAGCAGATGATACGCGCAGTTATATCTATCAATCAAGCCCGATGAAATTAATCAGGTTATCTAAATTACAAACATGTCTTAGGACATAAATCCTGGATGAGCTGCAATTTTCTGATGTTAAACTCGGAAAAAAATGAAATTCTTGTACTTGCCCCAAAAATCTTAGAGACTCACTGTCTAAAGATATAGTTACTCTAGGGATGGCATTACCTTGGCCTCTAGCACCAGCTGTCAGGAATCTTGGAGTTATCTTTGATCAGGATTATCAATCTTAACTCCCATATAAGATCTCCAGATCTCTAGGACTGCCTTCTTTCATTTACGTAATATTACAAAAATTAGACACATCCTGTCACACAGATGCAGAAAAACTAATCCATGCATTTGTTTAACTTCTAGGCTGGATTACTGCACTCTTATTATTCAGGTTGCCCTAATAAATCCATTAAAACGCTCCAATTAATCCAAAATGCTGCCAGCACGAGTACTGACAGGAACTTAGGGAAAAGAGATCACACTTCTCCTGTCTAGCTTCTCTGCATTGCTCCCTGTACAATTTAGGATAGAATTTAAAATTCTCCTCCTCACCTATAAAGCTCTTCATGGTCAGGCCCTTCTTATCTTGAAGAGCTCATAGTACCCTATTACCCCTCTAGAACCCTACGTTCTCTGAATGCAGGGCTACTTGTGGTTCCTACAGTCTCTAAAAGCAGAACAGGAGCCAGAGCCTTCAGTTACCAAGTCCTCTCCTGTGGAACCAGCTTCCAGTTGTGTTCGGGAGGCAGACACCCTCCAAATTTAAGAGCCTCCTGCCATGGTCCTGCTGGATTGCCATACCAATTACTGTTGTTGCTATGCACCGTTCTGCCGGTCTTGTCTGTCTCTCTCTCTCTCTCTTTCTCTCTCTCACCCCAACTGTGCAGGACAGACGACCCCCCACCTAGAGCCGAAGGATCTGTCCTAGGTTTCTGCCTTAAAAGGCAGTTTTTCCTTGCCCTTGTCGCCAAGTGCTTGCTCATGGTGGTAGCTCGCTGTTGGGTCTCTGTTAAATACATGTTATAAGGAGTTTGGGCTAGAATGCTCTATTTGAAAAGTGCCTGAGATAACTTCTGTTATATTGGCGCTATACAAATAAAATGAATTGAATTTGAATTGAATCTCGGTAAAACAGTTTCTGAGATCTGGTTTGAGTTAATCACCAGAAACAATAAAAACACCATCGATTTCTTTTGTCATTTGTCATGTGACCCACACAGTCCACACAATTTTAGAAATTTGCATCTGGAGGGATGTGAACAGCAGCAACAAAAACACTTGTGAATTCTCTGGGCAGACAAATATGGATGGCATATATGGAAGGCCTTGATAGCACTTCTATCTATCTATAAAGCAAATCTCTGTCTGTCTGTGTGTGTGTGTGCTCAAATATCTCTGCAGATCAGGATCAGACTGACCTGAGAGTTTCAACAACTTTTTCTGCACCAGCCTCCAGTAGTGTTAAATCCTTTTTGTTGTTTTTTTGTCAAGACTATTTCCTCTGTTTGTTGTTGTAATACTCCAATTCAACCACAAGAGTACCACTAATACAACCCCATCTCTACTATCTATCTATCTATCCTTATCTATCTATCTTATCTATCTATCTATCTATCTATTAGTCTATCTATATATAAAGCAAGAATCTGTCTGTCTGTGTGTGTCTGTGGCTGTGTGTGTGGCTCAAATATCTCTGCAGATCAGGATCAGACTGACCTGAGAGTTTCAACATGGCTGCTGTGTGGTTTAAGGGGTGTGCAACGTCAGCTTTGTTGGACCTATAAAGATACCGTTATAAATTATTTCATAAATGATTTCCGAATTCTGCTAGCTTACCAACGATAGCCACCGTAGCCACATGCGCACCAGAGCCAATCACTGCAGAGCCCAAACAATCCTGGAAAGTGAAAGTAAACTGATGTCTCGCTCCGTAGGGCTGACGGTCGCGTGTATTTTGATTTTTGATCACAACACTCCGTGAGTTTTTCGCAGTGACCAGACGCTTTTTTTCGGGCAGAAATGGTGACGAAGAGTTGTAGGACAGGCGGAGGACAAGACAGGAGGACAGACGTTCTCCACGTATGTACAGCTGTGGTATTTTTTTTCCTCATATAAGTTTCTAAAGACAGTTACAGTTACTACGTTACTGTGTTTGGGCCTGTACGTTGCTTTGTGGGACATTTCTCTTTATTAGTGAGTGAGAGACCTCTGCAGTTATCAGACTGTCTGACCGACACGCCCTCGCTCTGCACCGTTCGCTTATTCGCTCACACTGTAGGCGGTTAAAAAATAATGCCTCCCTGAATACTACCTCCAGAGGAGGATCAGGGACGAGCGACATTTCCCCCCTCGCCGCATCTGAGTCTTTCACACAGAGGAGGGTGCGGAAATTGCCTTGCTAAAAGCCAAATTATATGAAAACACAATAGTTATCAATCTACACATTTCACAACAAACCTAAATGCCCTGAAGTCCACCTTCAAACACAATCTATTGGCCATCCATGAAACAGCTACTTAACCTCCCACTTTTCCATAGCAATACATACTTCCTATGGCACTGCAGCTAGTGTTCTAAACAGGAATAAAAGCATTTATGTTTTCTTCAAAGTGAGTTTGATTTCTCCATGACTCTAAACACAAGTTACATACGTTCTGTTAGCAGCTATATTTAACTGTCTTGTCTTTCTTTTGGCTAAAAATGTATTATTCAGTTACTATAGCGTTAGCTATACTGATGTTAGCCTGCCTAGCTAGGAGTAAAAACTTCTTGTTCATGGCAATCAACAGCTACAATTGAGTCGACCGCATAGCTAACATTAAGTTCACTGTAACATGTATGGCAATTTTTAAGAACCCTATACAACCCTTTGACCTTTCATGTAAAACTGTTAGCGGCGTTCGTTGATTTGCAAGTAAGGAAACTCGAAGTCGGAAATCCGTTTTAGAAAATGTATTTGAGCATTGAAGAATTAAAAGAACATGTACATGGACTTCTTTGCTACTGAAAACCACAGTTCACTGC